CATAGCTAAATTCAGTAAACTCTCTAATAAAAACTATGGAATATGTGAAAACTGAAGAGGGCTTTTGGCTTTCTATAAAAAATAAGATGCCTTATCAGATGAAATGGAAGAACAAGACACTGCCAAACATCACTGCCAAGTACAAGGACCAGTATCGTTTACTGTAATTATCAGTTCCTATGTCACACAACATCCAAAGGCACAGAGCTGGCTCTTCAGAACTTTTCACAGAATGTTACAAACAGCAAAACAATGCCATATATACACATGAAGAGATTTTTTTTTCTTCTTTGTGGTACTAAGGATTGAACACTGGGGTGCTCTGCCACTGAGCTACATCCTTATCCTCACCCCACCTTTTTAAAAAATGTTTTAAGTTTTTAGTAGTTACTTCCATAGTAGTGCCCATCCCTTTTTGTTTTTGAGACAGGGTCTCTGTAAGTTTGAGTCTGGCCTCAAAGTTGCAATCCTCCTGCCTCAGCCTCCAGAGCAGCTGGGATTATAGGTGTGCACCAACCATGAGAGATAATTTTTAACTTGCACAAATCATTCTCTTCAAAACTTTATTTGTTAATTTACCAAAATTATTATTATTACTGAAAATTTAAAACATATATACAAGTAACATACTGAACTCCCACATATCCATCACAGTCCCAGTAGTTATTAACCAAAAGGTAATCATGTCCTATCTACTTCCCCCTTTACCAGATTACTATGAATTAAATCCCAGGCATCACATCATTTCATCTATAAACAAGAAGTCCTTATAAAATATCTGGTTCAAATTTCCAATTATCCTCGTCATATTTTTCTAAGATTGGTGGGGGGTGGGAGGAAGCTGGGCACGGTAGCACATGCCAAATAATTCCAGCAGCTCTGGAGGTAGGAGGATCTCAAGTTCAAAGCCAGCCTCAGCAACTTAGTGAGGCCCTATCTCTAAAATATAAAAAAAGGGCTGGGGATAGGGCTCAGTGGCTAAGCTCCCCTGAGTTCAATCTCTGATACAAAACAAACATCAGCATCCAAATAAGGTCTACACAATGCAACTGACCGAGAATTTTAATTTATAGATTCCCCTTCTTTTTCTCCCTTCAATTTATTTGCTAAAGAAACAATACTACATGTGCATGAATGCATACACATATCAAAAAATTATAAAAATATGGATGGAAATAAGAAACACCAAATTCAGCATAGTGTTTATCTCTGGTGGTGGGGAAGGAGGAGGAAAGGCAAGGTGAGATGAACAGCTTCAGTTCTATCACTAATGCTTTGCTTTTAAAAAGAGAATTAAAAAGCCAGGCACAGTGACATATACCTATAGTCCCAACTACTAGCGAGGATAAGGCAGGAGGATTGCAAGTTCAAAGCCAACTTGGGCAACCTGGCAAGACCCTGTCTCAAATTAAAAATTAAAAACGGCTGGAGATGTAGTTTGGTGGTAGAGTTTCTATGGGTTCAATCTCCAGTACAACAAAGGGGGGAAAAAAAAAAAAAAACAGTAACAAGGGCTGAGGATGTGGCTCAGTGGTAAAGTGCTTGCTTAACAGACAGGCCTAGGCTTGATCCCTAGCATCAAAAAACAATAATAAGAGCCCGGCCCACACACACCTGTAATCCCAGTGGCTAAGGAGACTGAGGCAGGAGGATTTTAAATTCAACGCCAGCCTCAGCAAAAGTGAGGTGCTAAGCAACTCAATGAGACCCTGTCTCTAAATAAAATACAAAAAAGGACTGTGCATGTGACATAGTGGTCAAATGCCCCGAGTTAAGTCCATAGTACCTCCTTCCCCCAAACGGAAAGACCTGAAACAAATATAGCAATATAAGATAAAGCTGGATGGTGAGCATAATGGTATTCATTATTATGTTACTTCCTGTTTTTATATGCTTAAAGTATTTAATTAAAAGCTTTTTAAAAAATATAAAAAAGGGCTGGGGATAGGGCTCAGTGGCTCGGCATGATGGGGCAAGCCTGTCATTCCAGCTATCCAGGAGGATCACAAATTCAAGGGGAGCCTAGGTAACTTTGCAAAACTCTCAGACAAATAAAATTCTAAAAAGGGCTGGGGATATAGCTCAGTGGTAGAGCATTTGCTTAGTAAAAGAGGTCCTAGATTTGATCCCCATTACCACAAAAATAAACAAATAAATATTTCACAGTATAAAACCCACCTCAAAGGATTATTGCAAGAATTAGATGAGATGCAAACATAAAGCACTTAGCACACTACAGGCACAATCTAAGAGAGAAATAAATGGTGGTTATCATTTCATCCCACCACCATCTCCCTTGAAAAGATTAAAGAAAAGCATAGGAATGGTAAGAAAAAAGAGTACTACATTGATAATGAAAAGGCCTGGGGATAAGTCCCCTAGACTCTGCTGATTTAGAAATTATCAGTATTCTCTATTAACCCAGCATTCAAACCATATTACCACTAAAGACCAGACAGAATGGAGATCTGAAATGTAAGGCAATTTCTGCAAATTAATGGTCACTGAAATACATCATATAGGGCTGGGGATGTGGCTCAAGCGGTAGCCCGCTCGCCTGGCATGCGTGCGGCCCGGGTTCGATCCTCAGCACCACATACAAACAAAGATGTTGTGTCCACCGAAAACTAAAAAATAAACATAAAAAAAAATTCTCTCTCTCTCTCTTTAAAAAAAAAAAGATGAAAAATTAATCTAAAAAAAAAAGAAAGAAATACATCATATAGGGGTATGGACTAAATATTCAGAGACTTCAGCAACTCTCAATATCTCTGAACCTAAATATAGATGAACACTTGAAAAAAAGGGATATTCACTGTTAACAAGGATCAACTTCATCCTTGAAGATCAACTGAAGGGATGTTTACAAAAGCACTTTAAAATCTAAACACCTCATGCCAATGAAAGTTGACTTCAATGAATCTGCAAGGGAGGAAACCCTCAGATAAAACTGAAGCTCTTAAGGTGAAGTTCCACAAGACAGCTTTATACTTCTGCCTGCCATTCTACCACCTTTCTTACTACCTTCCTGGTAACCTCCACTTAAAATATAGGGGCTCCTTTATTTTTAAAGTAAAGAATATTTTTCCCATTTCACAAATCTATCTTTTAATTCTGTTCCCCATCCCTGTATGACCCTATTCTGTCCTTCCACATCTCTCTCACCTGTCCACCCCCTTCTTCACACTTCAGTGTACCACCCCCTCTCTCTGTTCTGTAACCTCCTGGTAGCAACCTCAGAAACTGGTTCCCTATCTATTTTTACCTTACCTCAGAAAACCTATTGCCTTCGAGCACAAAGCCTTCTTCAGGCCACTAAAACTGCAACCAGATGCAACCCCACATCCTCTTTCAAGGCTCTAAAACCAAAACCATTACCAAACTGTGTCTGACAGGCAGGGCCAAAACTAAGAATTATTTCCAAAGAAGAGGACTTCCCATTAATTAGCCTTTGATTTGCAACCTGTACTAAATGCAATACACGTGAAACACAAAGCACAAAAGGCTTTGTTATCACTCATAAAACGAGCCCAATATTTTTTTTAAAAAATCAAAGAGAACTGAAATTATCTGTAAGAATTCTGCAATTCCCTTTGAGATAACTAGAAACACTGTAGAATGGACAAACCACCCAGGGCTGGAAATTTCTGCTTCAGGTAACATTTCACTACATCAGGATGCCAAGACTCCTCCAAAATGGGCATAGAAAGCAGGGACTACTAACTGTAGCAACGGATTTCTATTTAAGAAGAAAACTGTTTCTTAAAACAATTTTTAAACAGGTGTGCTAAAGTTTGGAGCCCCTAACAAATACCCAAAAACAATTCAGATCAGGTTAGGGAAGCTAGCAGGCAACTCAGTGATTTCTTGGTCCTCTCCAGAGCTCACTCTGCAATGCCAACTGCTTTCCCTCTACCTATTCATTGAAGACCAGGAGGAAGAATCGCACAAGTCTTCCTTTCCGAGGATACAGCCTGGCCTCCCCTGCCGCCCCCGGCTCTCCAGAAATCTCATCGGCCGCGAGGCGGCGCCGCGCTACCGGCTGGGCTTTTACGCTTCCCTCTCCCCTCCCCAGAGGAGTCGAAGAATTCCCGCCTCCCCGTGGAAGGAGGGAGAAACGCGGGCTTTCTCCCCGCCCCTCCCCCAGCAGGGGCAAAATCAGCCCCTCCGCAGGCCGGGGCGGTGCACCCTCTCTCCCTAGGGACCGCCGCCCATAGCCACACCTCGGCTGACCTCAGTCCCCTTTCCCGGAGGGGTGGGTAATCCTCTTCCTCCCGCACCCGCCCCGCGCCTCCGAAAGTCCGCGATCCTCTATCTCCCGAGTAACACCCTCCCGCCGGGCGGGCAAGGGGCAGAGGCATCCCCCACCCACCTCCACGCCACTGCCCCCTCCCCCACCGGGCAGGGACAGCGGACATCGCTCATGCCTCTCAGCTGACCAGAAAGCCTCCCTTTTCCTCAGCAGGGTGAGGGGCGTCGCTCGCCCACCAACGTGGAGGTGGGGGGCAGGGATATTCTCCCGCCACCACCTCAGGAGCGAGAACTAGCCCTTCTCCCAGCAGAGCGAGGGCCTCCCTGTTCTTCAAGGGGGCGGGCAGTGTGCGCGACCCCCTGGAGAAGCAACAGGCGCCCCCAACCCCCGCCCAGCCGACGAACGGCCGACCCTTCGTCCCTCCCGCTCTTCACCTCCGGAAGCCGGGCCAAAGCCTGGGCGAACGACTGCGCCTCACTCCGCCCCCTGCGCCATTTTATCGCCCCCTCCCCGACCTCCCCCACCCCGAGGCAGCCTGGCCAACGCCAGGGGGAGGGCAAATAAGCAGTGATTGGCAAGAAACCGCCCCGCCTCTGAGAGGGTTGCGCCCCGCGCAAACGCCGCAATCCCGCCCTCCGCACCTCCTACCCTCCCTGCAGGCTCCGCCCCTTCCCGTTTCATCGACTCACTCGACTCTCCTTTGCTCTAGACTCTCCCGGATAAGGCCCGGCGGAGAAGGGGCCAGGCAGAGAAAGCCGAGCGACGAGCTCAGCTGATGCAACCTGGCGGGACTCTCGTGACAGTTCCCGGCACGCGGCCGCGGAAGCGACGAAGGAAAAGACGCGGGTGCCTGCCGAGCGCAGGAAGCAGGGGTGACGGAGCCATGGGGGACGCTCCAAGTCCTGAAGAAAAGCTGCATCTGATCACCCGGAACCTGCAGGTCAGGCCTCGGGGTTGGAATGCGCAGTCCTGGGTCCAGTGAACCTGAGCCCCACTGTAGGGTAGGCTAGTAACTGTGTGGGGCAGGGAATCTCCGCACCGCGGCAACCCTGAGTAGCTACAGCCCTCGCTAATGACCGGTCCGGCAGTCAAGCAGCCATTCTCTGGGTGCCACTGAAATCGCCGTGGACTCATCTCTTGGGTGTTGGAGCTGGGCTTTGAATCCCAGATTCCCATCGCACCCACGCTATTATGTGCCAGGCGTGGTGCTACGAGCCAGGGATATGTTAGGGCACTGCCCTCCAGAGCTGGCCTGGAGAGATCGGACCTTAATGACCCATAACCTAAACCATTGCAGTTTGGAGTACTGAAAGCACTGGGTTATTACACCAAGAAAAGGGAAGGCTTCCACGAGAAAGTGACCTTTAAACTGCCCCCTGAAGGAGTGGATCACTCCTTAATTCCACAAATGTTCCTACTTTCACCAGGAACTGTAGGGATAGGACTTAAACAGAAAAAGAATGGAAAAATGGGGAGAAAAGCATTTCAGATGGAAGAGTATTGTCAAGATCCGAAAGAGGGGCTGGGGCTGGGGCTCAGCCGTAGAGCGCTCTCCTAGCACATGTGAGGTCCAGGGTTCAATCCTCAGCACCATATAAAAATAAGTTAATAAAACAAAGGTATTGTGTCCAACTGCAACTAAAAAATAAATATTTTAAAAAATGTTAAAAAAAAAAAAAGATCCAGAGGAGAGAAAGAACCTTGTGGTTCAGAGAGAAAACTAATTTGGCTGAAGTGAACAAAGTGCTGCTCAGAACACTTAATATTTATATTATTCATTTTCTTGCCTTCCTTCAGGCCTCTGACAATTGTCACCTTATTAGAAAAGCCTTTCTTTTTGCGGGGCAGGGTATTTGGAATTGAACCCAAGGCCTTGGGCTTGTCAGGCAAGTGAATTACCACTGAGTTGCACCCCTAACCCTTTTTAAATTTTACTTTGAGACGGGGTCTTGCTAAATTGCCCAGGCTGGTCTTGAACTTGTGATCATCCTGCCTCAGCATCTGGAGTGCCTGGGCCACCTGCCCTAGCTAGGAAGGCCTTTTTTGAGCACTTAATTGAAATAATAATTTCCTTGCCACCAGAACTGTCTCCCCTATCTGCAGATTTTCAGTTATTATTCCTAGATAGCACTTATCACTATCTGATATACATTTTATGTTTATTTATTTAGGAGAAGTAGGCAGGTACCAATTCTTGAGGGTCTTGTAAGCTTTATTCTGCAAGCCCAATTTAAAACTGGGCTTTGGGATGAGGCTGTAGCTCAGTAGTAGAGTGCTTGCCTTGTACATAGGGTTCAATCCCCAGCACCATTAAAAAAAAAAAAAATCCTGGGCACTAAGTGCAGTGGTATATCATAGCTTGTTGTTTTTTCTTTTTAATCCTTTTTGTGATACAATTCAAATACTATAAAAGTTGCCCCTTTACAGTGCATTTTTGTTGTGTACCATGACCAGTATCTAATTGCAGAACATTTTCATATTCCCACTAGGGAATATGAAAACTTGTACCATTGGGAGCTGGGGTGGTGGCTCAGTGGTAGTGTGCTTGTCTAGCATGTGTGAGGCACTGGGTTTGATTCTCAGGACCACATATAAATAAATAAAGGTCCATTGACAACTAAAAACTATTTTTTAAAAAACTTGTACCAATAGCAATCACCACTATCATCCCTCCCTCCAGCTCTAAAGGAAACACTGATCTACTTTCTGTTCCTATGTATTTGTATATTCTGGAAATTTAACTGAAATTTGTGCTTCTTTCATTTAGCATAGGTTTGTCCAAGTTGTTATATCTATCAGAACTTCACTCCTTTTATTACTGAATTTACACTGTATGGACATACCAGATTGTGTTTAGCCATTCATCAGTTGATAGGCATTTGGATTGTTTTGTGCACAACTTGAACTTGACTCAAGATTTTTGCATGCTTCCCCTTGCCAAATCCTATGTTTCTTAACCTCTCTTCATAAAAGAGTGCTTGTTAGGGACATAAGATACACAAAGCCTATGGAATTGACTCTCTCAGGTTATACAGGCCAATTGAAACCTTTCCTTGGGTGATGAGAATCCTCCAAGTGTCTAGATAGTCAGGAGCTCCGGAGGATGCAGGATCAACTGCCAACAGACAGCTTGGAGCACAGGATTTTAACAGTTCCTAGTAATAGATAATTTAAACTAGCAAAACAGTTTTTGTCTCTTACAGTGTTTCTCCCCTGCCCCCATACTGGGGATTAAGCCCAGTGGTGCTTTACCACTGGCTACATCCCCAGCCCTTTTTATTTCTCATTGTGGGACAGGGTCTTGATGAATTGCAGAAGCTGTCCTGAAACTTGCAGTACTCCTGCCTCAGCCTCCCAAGTCACTGGGATTACAAGCAATTACAGGCCACCACACCCAGCTGTCTGTCATGGTTTCTGACAGTCTCCCCAAACTTCCCTTGAGAAACACTGAAAACTCTTTAATCTGGGGCGTACTGGCGTATTATGATTTTACCAGTATTGTTTAGGGCAAAAGAAAATCAAGGTTTTAAACAAAGCTAAGCATAGTGGCAGGCAACTGTAGTCTTAACTACTTGGGAGGTTTGGTAGTTGTTAGCTCAAGAGTAGTAACTGAAACAACTAAAGGGGATAAACTAGGGGGAATGTAGAGTAAGAAAGAAAAGACTAGAGCCTCAAGGATTGTTAATATTTAATGATTAGGAAGAAGAGGATCATCCAGAAAAGATGGAAACTAAGAAAATAAAATAAGGAAGTCAAAAGTATAAAGTGTTGCAGGGAGGGAGTGGAGACTGAAAAGTATTCATTGAAGTTAAGAGACCTGGAGGGGGCTAGGGTGTGGCTCAGAGGTGGAGCGTTTGCCTAGCATGCTGAAGCACTGGGTTCGATCCTCCCACCACATTAAAATAAAAAAATAAAGGTATTGTGTCCACCTACAATTAAAAAGTAAATGTTTTAAAAAATAAAAAGAGACCTGGAGGTCCTCTGTGATCTTTGCAAGAGTATGTGTAATACAGTATGAAACTTGCACAGGAATGGGAGATGAAGAAAGGGAGACCAAAAGAGAGAACGACTTTAAGAAGTTGGCTATGAAAGGAAGGAGAGTGAGTTAGAAGTAGCTGGAGGGGGAGATGTAGAGACATGCTCCCACCCCCTCATATCAATGTTATTTCATGGGAGAGCCACTAATAACAGTACCTGCTTAGGGTGGCTCTCAGCTGGGCCTCCCGGGACATATGTCTTTGCTTTCCTTGTCTCAGAAAACGATGAGCAAGGCCGAGCACCAGCATTAAATCAGTTCTTTCTTGCTTCCACAACAGGAGGTTCTGGGGGAAGAGAAGCTGAAGGAGATACTGAAGGAGCGAGAACTTAAAGTTTATTGGGGAACAGCAACGACAGGCAAGCCACATGTAGCTTATTTTGTGCCCATGTCGAAGATTGCTGACTTCTTAAAGGCAGGATGTGAGGTAAGAATCCATGGTATCAGCTAAGTAGTTTCCTTCAGGGAATGATAAAAAGAGATTAACAAGGGTGAGGGAGGGGAAGGTGGGGGAGGAGATGGTTTGGAGATAATGGACAAAAATCACATTTTGGTGATCCTTATGCCTTATGGCTAGGTAACAATTCTGTTTGCGGACCTTCACGCATACCTGGATAACATGAAAGCCCCATGGGAACTTCTAGAACTCCGAACTGGTTACTATGAGAATGTGATCAAGGCAATGCTGGAGAGCATTGGCGTGCCCTTGGAGAAGCTCAAGTTTGTCAAAGGCACTGATTACCAACTCAGCAAGTAAGTGCTTAATTACTCATGCTCCTCCTGGCTCTGGTGCTTCTAGCTAATTACAGACCTGTGGAGTCTAGGCATTCTGTAAGTTTGGATTAGAAGCTATATGGCAGTACCTGTTAAGAACCATTAAAAAAAAAAATGTCGGGCTGGGGATGTGGCTCAAGCGGTAACGCGCTCACCTGGCATGCGCGAGGCGCTGGGTTTGATCCTCAGCACCACATAAAAATAAAATAAAGATGTTGTGTCTGCCGAAAACTGAAAAATAAATATTAAAAAATTCTCTCTCTCTCTTTAAAAAACAAACAAAAAAAAAAATGTGTGTTCTTTGTCCTCTTAATTCATCCATCAAAAATGAGCCAACTAGCCGTGCATGCCTGTGATCCTAGCGGCTTGGGAGGCTGAGACAGGGGGATCTTGAATTCAAAGCCAGCCTCAGCAACATCAGGGCGCTAAGCAACTCAGTGAGATCCTGTCTCTAAATAAGCTACAAAATAAGGCTGGGCATGTGGCTCAGGGGTTGAGTGCCCTGAGTTCAATCCCCGGTACCCTCAAAAAAAAAAAAAGCAACTAAAGGGTGCCGTGGTACACGCCTGTGGTCCCAGCAACTCAAGAAGGGCTAAGGCAGGAGGATTGCAAATTCCAGGCCAGCCTCAGCAACATAGTGAGACCCTATCTCAAAATATTTAAAAAAGTAGGTGATGGTGAGCTAGGGATGTAGCCCATTGGTAAAGCACCCTTGTGTTCAATCCCCCTGTAAAATAAATAAACGAATGAATAAATAAATAACCTGGGTTCAGCCCTCCCCGCAATAAAACAAATAAATAAGAGAAAGAAAGAAAGAATGAACCAACAAACCAGTAAATACCTGGGTACTGTTCTCCTTGCTGGAGATACAAATGTAACATAACAAAGTTGCAGAACTTACAGCATGTGGGAGAGGGATAGTAAGTGATCATCCTCCCTTTCTCATCCAGCCTCAGCAAATAATGATAAAAAGCAATGTGAAAGAGATTGCACACATTTCTCACCTCCCCAACCATTCTTATTGCTTGTTTGTCAGTTATATTCATATTTGGGCTAGGGTTGTGGCTCAGTGATAGAGCGCTTGCCTAGCATGTGTAAGGTACTGGGTTCAATTCTTACCACCACATAAAAAAATAAATAAAGATATTGTGTCCATCTACAGCTAAAATATTTTTTTAATTATATTTGTGATATTAGCGTAGATATAATTTTGTATGTTTTTTGTTTGTTTTCTGGGGATTGAACTGAGTGAGGGTCTCACACATGCTAGGCAAGCACTCTACCACTGAGCTACGTCTCCACCCCATAATTTAAAATGTCTAAGACCTCTAAAATGTCTTTATAGTCTACATAGCATAGGTCACTCTGCTAGGCATATTTGCATTGAAACTCTCAAAACAACCTTTTAAGGTAAGCATACTATTACTATTATCAGTGAAATAGATTCAGATTTAACTTTCCCAAGTTTACACACATAATAAGTAAATGAGTTAGGATGTGAACCCAGATCTTTTGCTTACTTGTAATTTATCATTTTTTAATTTACCATTTCTTGCTTACTTGTAATTTACTTGTAAATTATCATTTTACTTCTTCTAATATATAATTTTCTTTATTATTTTCCACTGTTGGACATTTAGAGTTTTGAAAAAAGAATAAACACCTGCATATAAACAGATCTTTAATCCTCTAGTCTCTGTAGGTTGCCTCAGATTTAATTCTTGTTTTGTTGTTTGTAGTACTGGAGATTGAACTTGGGACTTACCACTGAAATATACACACACACAGAGAGAGCAAGAGATCAAGTGTGTTTATATATGTGTATATATGTATATAAATTGTGTGTGTTTGTGTAGATGGTGATAGGTGCTAAAAGCAGGCAACAGGTGGGTAATTCGTGGACAGTAGGAGTTACTTTCTTTTTAAGTAGAACAGCTAGGAGAAACCATTCTGAAAATATTAGGCAGAAACCTGAAGAAGATAAGGGAACAAATCATAGAAATATGTATTAAGTTCATACCATATGCTAAACTCTATTCTAGACCCTGGAGTTATAACCATGAATAACACAGCCAAGGTTTTTATTCTCCTAAGACTTAATAAAATTTGGGTATGGGAAGGTAGGATAAATAAATAAGCTATCTTGTTTCAAGTCACTTGATCTTTTTTTATGTACAAAAGTGACTTTAAAGAAAGATGGCTTTGTAGTACACACTTTGATACACTTCTGTTCCAAGCGCAGCAGTGATAGATGAAAGGACATAGCCCAGTTCAAAAACCAACTAAACATTTCCATGGGAAGAGAAACAAAACTGAAATGTAAATTGGTGAGTTGGATTGAAGTTACAGGTCTGCCTGTGTTCCATTTCACAAACCAGCATTGTTTATAAGCCCAGCAGTGAGGGCAAACCAAGCTTACTGTGTGAACCAGAGAATAGAGTAGGGCTTTTCCCCTTTTTCCATTCCCAAACCTACCCTTTAAGGAAGGTAAAACCTGGAATAAGAGCATCACTAGCAACTCATCTGGGTCTTTAGGGATTTCCATCAAGTTTCAGACCTATGGAGACTTGACATACCAAGAATTAAACCAAGCTGCCCACCATTTATGTGTTATGTCCTAATATTACCAAAATGACAAGCTCTAACATATCAAGAAATAGTATCTACTTAAAAAGAAAAGAAAATTATAAGACAGATGCAGGAATGAAACATGAATATATAAATATAAAAAAGAACCATTTAGGGGCTGGGGTTTGTGGCTCAGTGGTAGAGCGCTCGCCTAGTGTGTGGGAGGCCCTGGGTTCGATCCTCAGCGCTACATAAAATAAATAAATAAAAATAGACGTATAAAAAAAGATTTATTTTAAAAAAATTTAGAAACCTCAATTTTAGTCTTTAGAGAAAAAAACGAACTTGAAATATACAGGATCAACTGTAGACTTAAATGAGTAAATCTGTGAAGTTCACACAAAATGCATCCCAGAGACATGGGCAGAAAAAAAAATACATAGAGTGATTAAGATGCAAATAAGGACTTTCTTTTCTAGCAGTCTTGTAGTCCAGTTACTATGACCTACCTTTCTACCAAAAACAACTAAAAATGCCAGACAACCTGGGCGGGGGCGGGGGGTACAGCTACCAGGGATTGAGCTTGACCACTGAGCAATATCCCCAGCCCTGTTTTGTATTTTATTTAGAGATAGTATCTCACTGAGTTACTTGGTGCCTCACTGTTGCTAAGGCTGGCTTTGAACTCATGATCCTCCTGCCTCAGCCTCCAGAGAACAAGCAAAAGTGAGAATACAAAGAGATAATGTACTTCAATTGACCATACAGTCATCCCTTCAGGTCCACAAATTCAGCCAACCTCAGATCCAAAGTAGACTTTTGTTCTTGTCATTATTGCCTGACTGATAAGATATGACAACTACTTCTGAAGCATTTGCATTGTATAGTCATCCCTCAGAGTCTGCAGGCAATTGGTTGTAGAACTTCCCCTGGATACCAAAATCTACAAATGCTTAAATCCTTTATATAAAAAGATACATGTAACCTAGGCACATCCTCCTGTATACTTTAAATCATTTCTGAACTGATTATACTATCTAATACAAGGAAATGCCATATAAATACTTGTTATATGATATTGTTTAGGGAGTGATGACAGAAAAATAAAAGTACATGTTCAATAAAAAAGCAGTATTTTTTTCCAAATATATTTGATTTGCAGTTGATCAAGTACACAGATGTGAGACCCATGGATTTGGAGGGCTGACTGTATTAGATATTATAAGTAATTTACAAATGGCTTAAACTTTATGAGTGAATGTGCAGAGGTTATATGCAAATACTATGCCATTTTATATCACAGAGGGACTTGAGCATCTGTGCCTTTGGTATCCACAGGAGTCCAGAGATCTGTCCCCTGCAACAGTTACCCAGGAACAAAATAACTATTAACTAATGTATAACATGCCATTGTTTATAAAGTAATCTAAATTGCAAAGGTGTTAAATGTTTAAAAAAAAATACCTCTTAGCCAGATGTGGTGGTACACACCTATAGTCCCAGTGATTCTGGATGCTGAAGCAGGAGGATTGTAAATTTGAGGACAGCCTCAAGTATGTGAGGCCCTACGCAACTTAGCAAGACCCTGTCTCAAAATTTAAAAAGGGGTCTCAGTGGTTAAGCATTCTTGGGTTCAATCTCAAGTGCAAAAAAAAAAAGTCTCTTAGAATCTCAACTGATAAGTACTCACATCTTGAGAGAGAGAGCGCTTATGATCTCAGGATGGGAATACTTAAGACACTTGATAATGCCAGGAAGAGTTACCCATACCTTGTAATCTAAGCAATTTGGGAGGATTACAGGTTGAAGGGCAGACTCAGCAACTTAGTATAACCCTATCTCAAAATAAAAAAGGATTCAGTGGTCAAGTGCTTTAGTACCAAAAAGTCAAGTCACAGGCTGGGAAGTGTGGCTCAGTGGTAGAGTGTGCTTTTTGCATGCATGAGGCACTGGGTTCAAAACCAAGCACCAAAAAAAAAAAAAAAGAGAGAGAGAGAGAGAAAGTTAAGCTACAAACTAGGACAAGATATAAACAGATAATATCCAGTATTATGTTTCAAATTTACAGTCAGTTATTTTTAAAAATGTGTCAATCCAGTAGAAAAAGACTTAAGTAGGCATTTCTCAGAAGTTAATGATCAATAAGCATATGCAAAGAATAATAACTTCCTTGGAAATTACTCAAAGAAATGTAGATTAAAACTGAAGTAAGAAATCATTCCATACTCACCAATTAGCAAAGATTTAAAATAATGATGATATTAAACTGAAATTGATAAAAACCACTTAGGAAATAGTTTAGCATTAGCCCACTGAAGTTCAAGATGCAAATTCCCTGTGATAGAGATTCTAGGGCATATATATAAAATTTCTACATGTATACTGGAATACACAGACAAGGATATTTATAACACATTGTTTAGAGATATAAACGGAAAACTAGAAAGAAACACCAAGTTCAGGATTATGGTTACTCTGAAGAAGGAGGAGGAGGAGAAAGATTCTAAAGGGTGCTCAATAGCTTCAGAAGTAATTGTTAGATCTTTTTGCTTAAGTTTGTGTTTTGTTTTGTTTTGTTTGTACCAGGGATTGAACCCAGGGTCACTTAACCACTGAGCCACATCCCCAGCCCTATTTTGTATTTTATTTAGAGACAGGGTCTCACTGAGTTGCTCAGGGCCTTGCTGAATTGCTGAGACTAGTCTTGTGATCCTCCTGCCTCAGCCTCCCAAGCCATTGGGATTTCAGGTGTGCACCACCATGCCCAGCTTTAGATCACTTTGTTTAAACTGGATGTTGTTTGTATTGTTCAAAAGGCATGGGAGAAAGAATTCCAGAAGAAAGGTAGAGGGGAATGGCAGAGAAGCAGTACGTCATGGATAATAACAATGTTTTCTGGAGGCAAAGTAAAAATTAAAGCCGTTTTTTCCAAAAGGAAAAACAAGCTGGTGTAGTGGCAGAAGCCTGAAGTCCCAGTGACTCAGGAGGCTAAGACAGGAGGATCTCAAGTTTGAGGCCAGCCTGGGCAATTTAGTGAGATCCTGCCTCAAAATTAAATAAGAAGGGCTGGGGATATAGCTCAGAGGTCAAGTGCCCCTGAGTTTAATCTCCGGTCCTGGGGAGTGGAAGACAGGAAAAACGTAACAATAAAGTAATGTTTTGGATGAGCAGGCAATCTCTTACATTTAGAAACTACCGGGTAGAGCTCTCTTCAAATAGCTTAAGATTAAGAGAGATACCCTGGGAAACTGAGACCTACGTTCAATTTTATGATTGTCCCCTCTTTTCCTCTTCAGAGAGTACACATTGGATGTGTACAGACTGTCCTCTGTGGTCACACAGCATGATGCCAAGAAAGCTGGAGCTGAGGTCGTAAAGCAGGTGGAGCATCCTTTGCTGAGTGGTCTGTTGTACCCTGGACTGCAGGTACTTAAGAGAGATAGAGTGGCCCCAGTGATCTTTCTGCTCTCTTTCTTTTGAAGCTGGGTATTGAACTCATGTCCTTATTTATGCATGATAGGCAAGTGCTGTACCTCTCCCAGCTACTTTATGCTCTGTTTCTAATGATGAACACCAACTTCTATCAACATCAGTAAACCAGTGAACTTGCTGTTCCTTCACCAACTTCTGGGACTTCCTTCTTGTCTGTCCCCCTCCCCACATCACTGGCTTCCAGGAACATTCTTTTACTTCTTCAGTAGTAAGTCCTCTTCCTGTCTGTCCTGTAAGACATTGCTTATCTCACACATCATCTTTATCTCTTAATCAAAGCAAAAAAGTTCAGAGATGTGTGAAAATAAATTTTAGACGTGATCCTATTTTTCAATAAAGAAAACAATTACATCACATTTCATGGGTGTGTGTATATCTATGAGTTAGGAGAAAGATAGAAAAATACACCAAGCAAGCAGTTGATACTGTTTATCTCAGGAAGGTGGGATAAAAATTAAAATACACTTAACTATATTTCTGAGAAAAGAAAATGAAGTCTCTCTTGTCATCTCATACAGTTCTTTGTCAGCATTAAATCTGAAGACATACTATATCAGTCCTATCTAATATGGTAACCTCTAGTCTTAGTCACATGGGGCTATTAAAATTAAGTTAATTAAACTAAACTAAAGTTTTATCCAGGTGAGGTGGCATGCACCCCTGTAGTCCCAGCTACTCAGGAAGCTGACATAGGAGGGTAACTTGAGCTCAGGAGGTTGAGGGTATCCTGGGCAACACAGTAAGACCTCGTCACAAAAAAAAAAAAAATAGTTAAAATTTGTTCTTTAGTTACATTGATGTACGCTGTACATTCAGTATATATTCCTTAAAGAGGAAAGAAGGGATAGCCATAGACTATCCTGGACAATTCTGGTAGCCACATGTGGCTATTGGCTACTATCTCAGCCCAGATATGGAACATATTCATCATCCTGAAGGTTCTATTGGGCAGTACTGTTTTAGACTGTCCCTGTTTATTCAACCTTCTTTTACTCTCTCTTCTTTTCTATCCTCAGCCTGTCATGCACCAAATTTTATTAGTTCTGCTTCTTAAAAACTCTTAAATTAGGGACTGGGGTTGTGGCTCAGTGGCAGAGTGCTCACCTAGAGCAGGTGAGGCACTGGGTTTGAGCCTCAGCCCCATATAAAAATAAATGAAAATAAAGTCATTGTGCCCACCTACAAATAAAAAATATACCCCCCCCCAAAAAAAAAAAAAACTTAAATTAGCTGGGTGTAATGGCACACACACATGAAATCCCAATAGTTTGGGAGGCTGAGGCAGGAGGATCGTGAGTTCAAAGCCAGCCTCAGCAACTTAGAAAGACCCTGTCTCAAAAAATAAAATGGGCTGGGGAAATGGCTCAGTGGTTAAATGCTCCTGGGTTTAATCCCTAGTACTAAAAGAAAAAGAAAGAAACCCTCTTAAGTTCATTCTTGCTACTGGTGTGATCTTTTTACTGAGCTGGTCATTTTTTTCTTCACCCTGAAACCATTCAGTGGCCAGATAGCACTAAGCACAGTAGCATGACACTTCAAGGTCCTTACCTACTTTTCTAACCTCTTCACTCATTATTTCCCACATTCCTTGAAGTGCATTTGCAGACTGAATCATTCACAATTTCCCCTGAAACTTCACACCTATGCCTTCTTGCACATTCTGTTTCCTCTTCATGGTAAAAAACATCTATGTGTTTTTTAAAGCCAAGCTCAGCCCACGTCTGATTCTAGGAAGCTTTCCCCACACCCATTTGAGAGAGGTAATGGTGCCTTCCTTTGTGTTGGCACTGCTCCCACATGAACATCTAGGCTAGCTGAAGTGGTTGTTTACATGTCTCTCCCCAAGTGGGTAATTGGCCTTCTTGAAAGGAGTCTGGTTCTGATTCTTCTCTGCATTTGCAGAGCTGGCACCAAGCCTATAATATTTTAACAGTCGTTGTTCCCCCCCGCTTTTTTTTTTAACTTATTTATTTATTGTAGTTGTAGATGGACAGCATGCCTTTATTTATTTATTTTTATGCAGTGCCAAGGATTGAACCCAGTACCTCGTGCATGCTAGGCTAGCACGCTGCCACTAAGCTACAGCCCCAGCCCAACTATTCCTTTAATAGTATTTTAATTCCTTTAATTTAAGTATTTTTCAAGCTCTTACAGGACTTTTTTTTTTTTGGTGTGTGTTCTGGAGATTGAGACCAGGGCCAGGGCCTCTTGTATGCTAAGCACACACTACCACTGAGCTACATGCCCAGCCCAAGGACTCTTCTTGCCAGGAGAGGCAGTATTGGATTTGAACCCAGGGATGCTCTACTCCTCAGCTACATCCCCAGCTCTTTTTATTTTTATTTTGAGATAGGGTCTTGCTAATTTGCCCAGGCTGGACTCCAGTTTACCATCCTTTCACCTCTCCAGTTTGGGGATTACAGGTACGTACCACCACATGGCTGGACTTTTTTTTTTTTTTTTTTTTTGCTATAAAAGAACACAATACTTTTTTTTTTTTTTTTATTTTTATGTGGTGCCTCACACATGCTAGACAAGTGTTCCACCATTAAGCTACAGCCCCAGCCTCTGGCTGGATTTATTTATTTATTTAAATATTTTTTTAGTTGTAGATGGACACAATGTCTTTATGTTAGTTATTTTTATGTGGTGCTGAGAATCGAACCCAGTGCCTCATGCGTGCGAGGCAAGCGCCATACCACTGAGCCATAACCCCAGCCCCGGACCTATTTATGCCACTTATTTGACATGTGTCACAGGCTGCCTTATTTAATGAATTACGTTTGACATGGCTGTGGTTTGTCTTTTCTTCCCTCCCTTTCCACTGGATTAGGAGCATCCTGAGAGCAGAGATTACTCTTCTCGTTTTTATCACATGACATCCACTTGGACTTATGTTTGCCTCAAGTGCTTAGCAATTGTTGATGCAGCTCTTGCCCACTGCTGTTCCCCACTCCCAACCCCTGTCCTGGCTCTGCTTTCTGAAAAACCTAGTGATTCTACAGTTTCTGATATCTCAGACTCATAGGGAAGAAATACCATAGGTGTTTATGCTCATTTTTTTCTTTCCCCAGGCTTTGGACGAAGAGTATTTAAAAGTAGATGCTCAATTTGGAGGTGTTGATCAGAGAAAAATTTTCACCTTTGCAGAAAAGGTTAGTGTCCTTTTTCCTATATTTTTTATTTGAGCCTCAGAAGTATACAATTGAAATTAATTGAATTGCCATGTGCCACTCCCACCAGTCATACTCATATTATATGGTAGATAATATTCTCCTTATTCTGCAGATGTGAACACAATAGAAGAAAACCAAAGCCATTTAGTGTCACACAGTTAGTAACCGAGCTGGCGGTTAGTACCAGTCTTCCTAGAAGCCCGTGCTTTTGCTACCCACAGAAAGCTGCCCAGGACCTATTGAATTTGTTTCCTTCCTAATGCCTCAGTTTCCAGGAAGAGGTACCAGTCAGAACTACTGTTCTTTCCCTGAGCATTTGGTCCACACTGCCTTGGGTCTTGTATAAACTATTCAAGATAACGTTTAAAAGGGTTTAGCAGGAAATCAGCACAAACCCATGATACTTTTTTTGTGCAAAAAAATTTGACTAAGTTGAAAAGAACAATTTCAAAGGAGTTGGTATTTTTGAAAGCTTCTCAAAACCTCATATTGGAAAGCATATGGAGAAAACAGTGCTAGTAGAAATGTAAATCCTTGGAAGATGATTTGACAACCCTAAAATGTTTTTATCCTTTGACCTAATAATTCTGTTTCTAGAAATTTGTCCTAAGGAAATGAGAAAAAGTGCAGTTTTTGTATAAGAGTAATTAGTACATTTGCCAATTTAAAGCAAAAATTTGGATATAAACATTTCCAGTGACAAGGGATTGGTTAAATAAATACATGATGAAAAATCCTCACGGTGGAGTATTATGCAATATTTAAGTACTGGTTTGGAGTTATATTTAATAAATGAGTAAATGCTTAAAATCTAAATCCTTTGATTAGTCAATTATTTCTTATTTTGTCTGCTCTGTTAACATTTTAGTGGAACCGTTTAGTAATCTCCAAAGATTCAATTCACAGCTTGTTTTTGTATGATTCACAAGCTAAGAATGATATTTACATTTTTAAAGGACAATTTTTAAAAGTTGAAGAATATGCAGTACAGACCATATACAGCCCACAAAGCTGAAAATCCTTATTATCTGGCCATTTACAAAAAAGTTTTGCCTCCCCCTGCCCTATAGATTATAACATGTATCCTTGTAACTTATTACAGTTGAAGTTAAATGTTTTCACAAATTCTCAACAGTGCAAGAACCTTCACTTAACCCATTATATTCCATCATCCTATTTATAGGCCACCTATAAATTTGCTCAATTTAACTTTCTGTAGGTACCCTATATATAGGATAATGGAACATAATGGGTTAACTCCCTCCTACCCTTTGTGCCTTTATTGTCATGATTTTACTTTTTACGTGTATTTTAAATATCAAAGACTTTATATTTTAATGTTTTTATTAGTGCATTGTATTATACATAAACCCTTTGATACCCTGGATTCCTTCCTACAGTCCTTGCTTCTAATGCTTCCATGTGAGTTCATTTTCCTGCAACCTGGAGAGGCCCCTTAATATTCTGTGCTTATAGTACAGGTCTTTCAGCAATGAATGAGTTCTTTCAGCTTTCTTTTGTCTGAAAAACACCTTTGTAAAAAAAATTTTGTACCAGGGATTGACCCTCAGGGGCCAGCCACATCCCCAGCTCTATTTTGTATTTTATTTAGAGACAGGGTCTCACCGAGTTGCTTAGTGCCTCCCTTTTGCCAAGGTAGGCTTTGAACTCAAGATCCTCCAGGAGGAGGATTCAAGCTAAAATCTTGGGGTATTCACCTATCCCTCTTTACTTTGATTGAACCTACACTTCAGCCTATCTTTCAAGTTCTCTGCATCATCTAAAATCTCAGCAAGGGTCTCCAGTCTCCCAGAGCCTATTATCTGCCAGGCTTCCTGAAATCTCACCATGTGCATGAGAGCTATTAGTCAGCTAAGAAATCAGTGGGGAATTTTAACCTAAGATTTTTTTCAGGGCATCAGAGTCCTTCTCTCTAGAATCCATCCCAAATCCTAGCTTCCCTACAGCCTGAACTCCAGTACCTGTGTCCTCTGCCTAGACTGTAGCTGCCACCTGGATCTCTTTTTCTGAGCACCTAGCTTGGAAAATGTTCTCAGGTAGAAAGCTGGGTGAACTTCCTTACCTCAAGTCTTATAACCCCACATTGCTTGCTGTCTGATGCCTGCAATTGAAATTTTTATGTATTTCCAGCTGTTACAGTTGTTTATGATAGGAGGATAAATTCAGTAGCCTCATAATGTAATATAATAAAAAAGCACTAGGGGAAAAAAACTATTCACATTATGATCACTATTGGAAACTCTTATATATTGAAGAAGGAAAAAAACATTAAAAAAGAATGTAGCAACCTGTTAAGTTTCTGGACAAGTTAGATGAAATCAGGGCACTGAGGAGGAATTTATACTAATATCTGCTTCTGTGTGTTCCTTTCTAATCTCTCAGTACCTCCCTGCACTTGGCTACTCAAAACGGGTTCATCTGATGAATCCAATGGTCCCTGGATTAACTGGGAGTAAAATGAGTTCTTCAGAAGAGGTAAATTTCCAACTTTAGTTTGTTTTGTTTTTTTAGTTGTAGATAGACATAATATCTTTATTTTACTTGTTTGTTTATTATATGGTGCTAAGGATCAAACCCAACACCTCACATGTGCTAGGCAAGTACTCTACCACTGAGCTACAACCCCAGCCCACCAACTATTACTTGAATCTAGAAATCTTCAACAAGAAATGGAGAGATTGAGGACTCAAAAATCAGTGACCTGGCTGACTAGAACATTCATATATTTTGCTGTGATCGACCTTCTTGTCCAGTTAGTTCAGTGGTTCTTGAGTATTGAAGGAGAAGCAGTCCTGGTGGGGTCCAATCATAATTTTAATAGTTCTTACTGATAAAACCACAAGCAAGTTATTTCTTCATTAATAAAACTGATAAAATTCAGCCTTACTCATGAGAAGGCTTTGATTACATTACATCAACAAGCATTTTGATTCAAAGAGTTTGATAGAAGTGATATTATATCTCTTAACCTTTAAAAGTCCTACTAGGATAAAGTACACTTTTGTTTTAGAATTCTGATAAATGGTTCTGGGAGGGACTCAGGAATGTTGTTTTTGGTTTTTTGTTTGTTTTTCCTTTAAAATAATTCCAGATTTTTGTTTGTTTGTTTGTTTGAAGTACTGGAGATCAAACCCAAGTCTGTACTCCCAGCCAAAGCCTGAGAACTTTTTAAAAATACACGTGCCTGACCCAACCTCAAGACACTTTGATTCGTTAGGTTTGGGTGGAGTCCAGTACTTTATATTTTTTATATACTCAGGTGATTCATATACTGTCACATGTAAACTAGGATTTGGGTAACCACTGAATTCAAATGACTATAAACTCATATTCTGAAACAAAACTTATTATTAAAAAAGGAAAAATGGCTATAGATGATACATCATACTCTGTATCTACCTCCATTTTCTGTGGTCAACAGAATACTTTTTTTAAAAAATATTTTTTAGTTGTTGATGGACCTTTATTTTATTTGTATATTTGTGGTGCTGAGAATCAAACCCAATGCCTCACATGTGCTAGGCATGCACTGTTCTGAGTTACAACCCCAGCCCAACAGAATACTTTTGAGACAGGGCCTTGCTAAGTTGCCAATACTAGACTTGAACTTGGGATCCTCCTGCCTCAGCTCCCATTGTCTGGGATTATAGGCATGTGCCACCACAACTAACTTCCATTAATTAACCCACATTAATCCATTAATTTACAAATAAGTTATACATTCATGAAGGCAAAAGCTCCCATGACCAGTCACCTCCCAAAAGTCCTGCCTTAAATACCATTAACATATGACTTTGAGCGTTAAGTTTCCAACATATGAATTCTAGGAGGCAAATTTTCATACCCTAGCACCTGCTGTTGGTGAGTGCTATGAAATAGGTATCCTCATACATTACTGATATACCTTCAAGAAAACAATCTTGAACCTAGCAATTTTAGGTAGTTTAAGAATATAATCGTAGAGAAGACAAACAACCTCTGTAAAGATGTTCAATATAGCATTATATATAATTTGTAAAAATTAGGACGTAATCATAACAAGTTATGATGCCACTAATAAGTGGGAATATAATATAGCATAAAAATTCTAAATGAAGACAAGGTAGCCCCTCAGATATACTTAAGACATTGTCTCATATGAAGAAGCAAGGTAGACATTTCTTCTCTAAGTATAAATATATAACGATTCTGTATGCTATAGGCAAAGTCTGGGAAGAACATAGAAAAAATTAGTTTATTCTGCCCAATATCAAAATTCAAGTGAATACCTTGATTAATTATGCTTTTGTGCTACTTGTTTAATATTAAAATCTTTTTTTAAATATTTATTTTTTTAACAAATAAACAAAATACCTTTATTTTGTTTATTTTTTTTTTTTATGTGGTGCTGAGGATTGAACCCAGAGCCTCGCACATGCTAGGCAAGCACTCTACCGCTGAGCCACAACTCCAGCCCCATGTTAAAATCTTTATAAAATTAAAAATAAATAAATATAAGATTAGTTCTCATTTCCAACCACAAGAGGTCCTCTTCTCCTCCTTGGTTTCTAGGAATCCAAGATTGATCTCCTTGATCGGAAGGAGGATGTCAAGAAAAAATTGAAGAAAGCCTTCTGTGAACCAGGCAACGTGGAGAACAACGGTGTTCTGTCCTTCATCAAGCACGTGCTCTTCCCCCTCAAGTCAGGTAAGATACTCCCTGTCCTCTCAGGGGCCAGGTTGGCAGAGCCAAACTTCTGCTGTGGTTATACTTGTGATTTGTCACAGATTCTTCCTCCAGAGACTGGTTGCCCTGAATTTCTACTCTAATTTCTTGTATATATTTGTACTAATGAGGGTAGGATATCATTTAATTATCTAGGGTTCATTACCAGACTAGGTTCTGAGGGGGTATCAGGTTAGGCAGGGGTCTTTGAAATGAGAGTGGAGGCAGACATGCTAAATTAGAGAAATACAAAAGAATTCTAAGTCTTAATCCTTCCCTTTAAGGACCTGGGATGCTAGCTGGGTACACAATATTGCCATTCATCATTCAGTTTAAGAACAATAGGGGTGGTGGTGTAGCTCAGTGGGAGATCACAGCTTAATGTGTGAGGCCCTAAGATTGATTCTACCACCAAAAAATAAGAAAATAAATGTCATATGATAAAGTTCAAAATACATAACTACATATACCTATGTATTTGGGCTAGGAATGCTTACTACTATTACTAGTTGAGTTTGTTGATGTAGATCCTTTTTCTTATAGAGTTTGTGATCCTTCGAGATGAGAAATGGGGTGGAAACAAAACCTATACTGCTTACCTGGATCTGGAAAGGGACTTTGCTGATGAGGTAATACTAGAGAAATAATAATCCCCAATAACTCTGACCTCTGCCTCTTGGCCTAGCAAGGTTTGTGATTGTGTGCCACAGGCCTCCATCTTTATGCTATCCAGGGCTGTGTATTTTGTTAATGACTTAGATGAAGATTCAGATAATTCACAGATTAAATGGGCAAATGGCACAAAGCTAATACATTGACGTCTTCCTCCTTTCCAGAGGACCTGACAAGCTGGAATAAAGGTTTCAACAAGAGGAAATATTCAGAGACAAGTGAAAAATAATGTACAAAAAAGAACAACAGGGGCCAGGCACAGTGGCGCAAGCTTATAATCCCAGCAGCTCGGGAGGCTGAGGCAGGAGGATCACAAGTTCAAAGCCGGCCTCAGCAACTTAGCAAGACTTTGTCTCTGCATAAAATATAAAAAGGGCTAGAAATGTGACTCAGAACAACTATTGTGACAACTATTTATGTAGTATTCATATTTTATTAATATTACAGATAATTTAGAGACAATGTAAATTATACAGAAGGATATGTGTAGGTTTTATGCAAATACTATGTCAGTTTATATAAGGGGATCAAGCATCTGCCAGTTTTGGTATCCTTGGGGAATGGTGCTGTCCCCATGGATACCAAAGGACAGCTATACATGGTCCAGATGTAAAACAGGAGGAAGTAACTTAGTGGCTTGTGGAGAGGACAATATCTGAGCACTGTTTTGCTTGAAGAATAGGAAATCATGAGAAAATTTGTGAGGGAATTAATTGTGTAAAAAGTTGGTAAGATGAGAAATTACACATGATTTAGTCTGCTAGAGTTGAGGTAGGGTAGGGCATTGTAGGAAGACAGGCAGGGGCAGGTCACAAAGAGAAGACAGACGTAATAATAGCAAATAGGAAATAAAATGGGGTTTTGATCCACTGTGAACTTAGGTTAAATCAACAGTTTGATGGGCTGTTAGAAATATGAACAAGCCTAGGTGTGGTGACACATACCTGTAATCCAGCAACTCGGGAGGCTGAGGCAGGAGAATTGCAAGTTGGGGGCCAGACTTGGCAACTTACTGGGACCCTGCCTCAAAATAAAAATAAAAAAGGGCTTGGAGGGGCTGAGGCTGTAGCTCAGTGGAAAAGTGCTTGCCTCTCATGTGTGAGGAACTGGGTTCAATCCTCAGCAACACATAAAAATAAATAAAGATATCGTGTGTTCATCTACAACTAAATAAAAAAGGTGGGGGGGGGCACTTGGAGTATAGCTCAGTGGTAGAGTGCCATTGGGTTCAATCCTCAGTACCACACAAAAGAAGTCAGGGGGACGGAGGTTGTAACTCAGTTGTAGAGCACTTTCTTGGCATGTATTCCCTGGGTTCAATCACTAGTACCACCAAAAAAAAAAAGGAAAGAAATGTTTACATTGACTCTTGGGCTAAGTCCAGAAATGTTCAGTCCAAGCTGGTGTGGTGCACATGCCTTTAATCCCAGAGACTCAGGAGGAGGCTGAGGTAAGAGGATCACAAGTTCGGGGCCAACCTGAGCAATTCAGTAAGACCTTGTCTCAAAATTAAAAATCAAAAAGGATTGTGAATACAGCTCTACGCTAAAGCACCTCTAGGTTCTATCTTGAGTACAAAGAAGAAAAAAAAAGAAATGTTGAATCTAGAACCAGGGAAGTGATCCCTTCTGTTCACTGTTCTGAGTGTGATGTTATTGCCCTGGACTTCAAGCTGGGACATGTTGGTTGGGGAAGGAGGAATGTCATGACGGAATAATCTCAAAACCATGTCACAAGATGTAGGTGAAGCACCTAAGAGCTAAACAGGACTGTGGATGAGGACCACAGCAAGATGTGATGTTGGGGATGGAAGGGCTTCCTCATTTAACCTTGGCTTCCCCTTCACTGGAAGTGTGCAAGAAGCAGCTAGAGAACCACTTGGAGGCAATGGTGAAAGCCTGATTGAGCATTAAATAGAGGGAAAGACTTGACCTGAGGTCTGGAGGCCTGTCTGGCCCATTTTTTGATGTTTTACAGCAATTACTCTGAAACCCTTCCTTCTGCCATCTGAGGCAGACCACAGAAGCCACACTCCTCTCCTCAACCCTGTGTGTTGTCCTTCATGAAATACTGAAAAAGAATACATGAAATGCCTCTAAGAAAAGGTCAGCAGCCAAGTTATCCCATAGCAATTTCTGTGGTATGGGTATATTCTTTCTGCACTGCCTGAGACAGAAACCATTGGCCTCATACAGCTGTTGAGCACTTAGAATGTGGCTAGGGAAATTCAGGAGCTACATTTTAATTTACAAATTTTAAATGTCCACAAAAGTCTTGGTGGCTACCATATTGGATGGTGGCCAAATTAAAAAGTGTTGGCGATACTGTGTTATAGGTATTTATACCCAGGGGGTATCACCTTATAATGCCTAGAAAATCCTTTCAGGCCAGATTTAGGGTATAAAAAGATAGCCATGGGACACAGGAAGAAAAATTGAATTTATAGCTGGGCACTATTTTATTTATCTGTAAATAAAATACAAAATAGGGCTGAGGATATGGCTCAGTGTTTGAGTGCCCCTGAGTTTAATACCCTGTACCCCAAAAAAAGAAAAATTGTATTTCTCAACTAGATTGAGTTTCTCTTATCTGAAATATTTGGAACTGGGAGAGGTTTAGATCTAAGATTTTTTCAGATTCATTTATTTTTTATTTTTGGGGGGTTTTCAATGGACTTTTATTTTCATTTATTTATATGTGGTGCTGAGAATTGAACCCAGTGCCTCACACATGCTAGGCAAGTGCTCTGCCACTGAGCTACAACCCCAAGGTTATTTTTGTTTATTTTGTTACCAGGAATTGAACCAACCCAGGGGTGCTTCGTCATTGAACCACATCCCCAGCCCTATTTATTTTTTATTTTGAGACAGGGTCTTGTCTAAGTTGTTTAGGGCCTCTCTAAATTGCTGACCTCGAACTTTCTATCCTCTTGCCTCAGCCTCCTGAATTGCTGAGATTACAGGCATGTGCCACCACACCTGGCTATATATTTAATTTTTTTTGCAGTACTGGGGATCAAAAACAGTGGCACCTGTACCATTGAGCAACATCCTCAACTCTTTATTTTGAGACAGGGTCTTATGAAGTTGCCCAGGTTGTCCTCAAACTTGTGATTCTCCTGCCTCGGTCTCCAGAGTAGCTGGGATTATAGGCACATGCTACTGTACCCAGCCAGATTTTGGAATATTTGCATATACGTAATGGGGGATGGGACCCAAAACTAAATAAGAAATTAATTTGTTTCATGTATACTTATTTGCATAGCTCAAAGGTGATTTTATGCAATATTTTTAGTGTGCCTATATTTTGACTGGAAACCATCACATGAGGTCAGATGTAGATTTTTTTTTCCCTTGTGTCATCCTGCTAAGATTTTTTTTAATATTTATTTTTTAGTCATAATTGGACACAATACCTTTATTTATTTATTTATTTTATTAGCTACACATGACATTACAATGATCTTGGCAATTCATACATTTAAATCAAATGGGGTATAATTTCTAATTTTTCTGATTGTACAGATTGCAGAATCACATTGGTCATACAGTCACCTATATACATACAGCAATCATAATGTCTATTTTATTCTGCTGCCCTTCCTATCCCCCCTTCCCCTCCCCTCCCATCACTTCTCTCTATCCGATCTAATGTGGCACACTTTTTTTTTTTTTTCTTTTTCTCCTCACAACATCATACATGTATTCTGTATGAGGGTCTCCTTCCATCTTCCATGCAATTCCCCTTCTCCCTCCTTTTCCCTCCCACCTCTCTTCCCTATTTAGTGGTAATCTTCTTCTCATGCTCTTCCTCCCTATCCCATTTTGAGTCACCCATATTTATTCATTTTTATTTGGTGCTGAGGATTGAACCCAGGGCCTCACACGTGCTAGGGGAGCGCTCTACCACTGAGCCACAACCCTAGCCTCTGCTAAGATTTTAGAGTATTTTGAATTTCAAGTTTGCATGTCAGGGATGCTCAATCTAGCCAGGTATAGTGGTGCACATGTGTAATCGCAGCTACTTGTGAGGCTGAGGTAAGAGGATCAAAAGTTCAAGGCTAGCCTGGGCAACTTTGTGAGGCACTGTCTCTGAAAAAATAAAAAGGGCCGGGGATGTAGGTCAGTGGTAGAGGGCTTGCTTAGGATATGTGAGGCCCCAGGTACAATCCCCAGTCCTACTGCCAAAAAAAGTTTTAAAAAGAGGAATGTTTAACCAGTACTAACAGACCAACACTGCTCTCACCATTTTATCCACATTATATGATTTTATTTTCATTCTGAATATGAGAAACAGCTATTGTTATCCTCATTTTATAAGAAGTTGAAAGTTAGGAGTGGGTAAGTACCTTGTTCAGTGTCACATACCTATCTGGAAGTCTAACCTAGGTCTATCTCCTAAGCCCTTTTTCTTCCTTCTGTCTTGTCATTCTTCAGTGTTTTGGGTTACCCATGTGAATATTTTCCTGCCTATGAGTAGCATGTGGTTTTTGCCACTGCTCTAAGCATAAATGAAGATGGTAGAAGAATTAGGATAATAAATATATTCAGCCTCTAAAAGCCCTCAAATTCATATGGAGCTTAAAATCAAAAGACCTGGATTTCAGACAAGTTAGCCTTTCTAAATCTATTTCCCCCTTTTCTGCTGGGAAAACACTCCCTTCATCCTATATGCACATTTTTAGTAGATTCTGGTATCCTGTGCCCTGTTCCAGTCCTCATCTCATCAGGTCTTATTTACTTCTGCAGGTTGTACACCCTGGAGACCTAAAGAATTCAGTTGAAGTCGCCCTGAACAAGTTGCTAGATCCCATTCGGGAAAAGTTTAATACGCCTGCCCTGAAGAAGTTGGCCAGTGCTGCCTACCCTGATCCCTCAAAGCAGAGTAAGGCCCACTGGGGTCGGGAAGGGCCAGGAAATAGGTTACAGTTTCAGAAAAGAGAGCCTGTCAATGGGTCTTAGAAACACATCTATCTTAAATGGAGGACCCAAGAATCCAGGAGGTTTCAAGTGCAAAACTGTCTTATTGCACTAACTCCTGGATTAAGATATGATTTGTTTTGATTGGGTTTGGTAGATTCCATAAAGTGATTATGTCCTACTGCACCAGCATCTTAAAAGAGGCAGATGGGAGACATGTACTTAGATCCTTCTAGTCTGTGTTCACTAAATCTGCTGCTTCAGTAGGAGAGTGATTGGGTTAAATAAACCTGGTACACCTAATCAGTATGTAGGGTGATAAGCTGTTATAGAGCCTGCAGAGCCTCTTACAAGAGCTCATTTTTAGCTGGGTGTAGTGGCACACACCTGTGATCCCAGCAATCCCAGGAGGTTGAGGCAGGAGGGTCACAAGTTGCCTCAGCAACTTAGTGAAGCCCTAAGCAACTTAGTGAGACCCTGTCTCAAAGTAAAAAGGGCTGGGGATGTAGCTCAGTGGTAAAGTGCCCCTGAATTAAATCCCTAGTACCCCCCACCAAAAAAACAAAAATACTTCATCTTTAGGATCTCCCAATTCCCTGGCTTCTTCTGGCTCTTAGTCCACCGTTCACTTGAGATATTGGCACTGATAATTTTATGTGACCCTTCCAGAAAAGACTCAGTAAATCCTATGTGGAATGCATGAATGGAAACACCCAAAGGTGGCAAAGCTTTACAGTCCCCTCACTTCCAACCTAACAACTGAGGGAGAGAGTAGATGAAAATCTGGCATGTCATTTCTGAAAGACTGCCATCCCTGTTTTAAAGCATAAGTTAGTGGGTAGGTTCTGGGGATTCTCTACTAAATCTTGCCTAATCTTGTGTTCTCATCTGGTGAGATTAGCAGCTGACCTTCCATGGGAGCAGGGAGTGGATCTTGACCCCATGGTGTTCTTCTCATTCCCAGAGGCCATTGCCAAAGGCCCTGCCAAGAATTCAGAACCAGAGGAAGTTATCCCATCCCGGCTGGATATCCGCGTGGGGAAAATCATCAGTGTAGAGAAGGTACTCATTTTTCACCACATCCCAGAGAAGCAGAGACAGGGGTCAGGTTTGTCTGTTTCCTTCTGGAAGAAACCTGGTCTAAAGAGGGCAAGTAACATCTCTGAGGTCATGTTGCAAGTCAGAACCCCAGTGTCTCCTTCCAGGCATCAGGCTTTCCATAGCCATTTGCTGCCCCTGGACCTTACACAACAAAACACAGCCAGGAACTGAATGCAGGAGGCAGATGTCAGAGGGAACTTGTTTACCCGTTAAAACTGACCTGATGGGCTTTCCTGTCTGTAGCAGCTTGCCTGGACTAGTTGCAAGCCTTATCTTGGATTAGCCACATTGCCTGCCCCTCAGACAGTGGTAGAGAGAAGATGATTCACTTTTTCCTAGAGACAGAAAGTCACGAAGTCAGCTGCTGGGGACCATTGTTCTGACCTTTTCACCCTCCCTCCAACCCCTACATACCCCAGACACCCCCCACCCCACCCTCTGCTCCGAGCATTGACTTGGTTTTCACACACTACCTTGAAATATCTGTTGATGCTCCTGCCTTAGATGGTGAAGCCAACACTTACCTTCCCACCTCCCAGTCACTTGGGACACACTGGTGTAGCATGTGTGCCATAGTGGTAGCCACTAACAGTTCAGTTCATTTAATCTCTGATAGAAATTCTTCCAGAAGCAATTATATTCATTTTCTCAAATTTGACCTCTTGGTTGGGAGTAGAATATACCTTCAAGGCCTCTGCTATCTGCTGTCTGGGGATCTGAAAATAGTTACCTCTAGAGGGTCCCTCCATGGGACTCTGTAAGGAGCAGATATCCCTTTTTGGAGACAAGAGTTCACTAGGCCCCCGATCTGCTCTACTGGGATATTCTCCTACCTGATATCTCTTGCTGGCAGCACCCAGATGCAGACAGCCTGTATGTGGAGAAGATTGATGTGGGCGAAGCTGAACCACGGACTGTGGTGAGCGGCCTGGTACAATTTGTGCCCAAGGAGGAACTACAGAACAGGCTTGTGGTGGTGCTGTGCAACCTGAAACCCCAGAAGATGAGAGGAGTTGAGTCCCAAGGCATGCTTCTGTGTGCCTCCATGTGAGTAAGGACTAGATGGGGCTCAGGACCTGGGGAGGCCAAGAGCGGGGAGCTGGACCCTATGATGCCCGGTGGAAGCCCTGAGAAAACACACCTCATTGATGCCAAAAAAGTGATGTCTGAAGGAGTTATTGTTCAAGTATCATGAATGAGACACTACCCAAGTTAATTTTGTTAAAACAGAAATGGAGGTGTGCACTTGCCCAAGCCTTACTACCAGTTAAGAGCTGGAGGCAAGATTCAAACCAGGTTCTGTAAAGTCTTTACTGCATTATTTCATACTTCCAGATTTGGTTATCTCTTCTAACATAGGAATTTAATAGCCCCATTTAATCTAAACTGGCGATGTCCAAAGATGTGCTAAAGTAATGAGGACCTCCTGGGGCCATGGCTTTGAAGATGTTCTAAATCCCATTAGGGTCCTTTGGAAAGGCCCAGATCACTTTGGCTTCCACAACCCTGGGAAGCCATCTGTAGCCTCACACTTCCTTTGTCCTGTGTGTCTTCTCAGAGAAGGGGTAAGCCGCCAGGTTGAACCTCTGGACCCTCCTGCAGGCTCTGCTCCTGGTGAGCGAGTGTTTGTTAAGGGCTATGAGAAGGGCCAACCAGATGAAGAACTTAAGCCCAAGAAGAAAGTTTTTGAAAAGTTACAGGTAAATCCTGCATTGTTCCCTCTTGCCTGCTACTGGGCCCTGTCCCTACTCTTCTTTGTTAGTGAATCCACAGCTGTCTCAGTCCCAACTGGGACTTTGGCTTTCTTCATTCCAGACCTTCCTGTAAGTGAAATGTCTGAGGGGCCTGGAGGTCTCAGAAGGACCTCTCATGTACTGAGCTTTGACAGGCTATTTGAGGCACTATGTAAGACACTTCAGACACTTCTTATTTATCTCCAGGCTGTGACAGGAGATGGAGATTATCTCCATTTTACCTAGCAGGATATCTGCCAAAGCCAGAAGTGATGGAGCCAAGGGCTGGTGCTGCATCTCAGTGGTAGAGTGTTTGCCTAGCCTGCAAGAGGCCCCGGGTTCCATCCCCATCACAAACGAAAACAAGAAGAAAAAATAAAAGATGGAGCCAGAATCAAAACCTTCCTAGGGCCAGGCATGGTGGCTCACACCTATAATCCCAGCAACTGGGAAGGCTAAAGCAGGAGGACCACAAGTTCAAGGACAGCCTCAGCAATTTAGCAAGACCCTGAGCAACTTAGTGAGACCCTGTCAGAAATTTAAAAAAATTAAAAGGGCTTGGGGATATAGCTCAGTGGTAAAGCATCCCTGAGTTCAGTCCCTAGTGCCAATAAATAAATAAATAAACAAACAAAAACTCTTGTAGGGTCCCTCTCCCCGCCTTGACCCTTGGATACTCATTCTCTCCTTGCCTTCTGGACACTAACACATATGGTCTGCCCCAGTGATCTCTTGAATTCATTCATTCATTCATTCACTCATTTAGCAAATGTCAAATTCATAATATGTATCAGGCACTATTCTAGGAGCTTGGGCTATATCACTGAACAAAACAGCAAAAATTGCCTCTCATGGAACTAACACCCATATGTGCCTTTTTCAATACCTGATTCCTCAAAATGCTTCTAGAGGTGTTTAAACCGTGTGTGTCTCCTGTATGTAGCAAATGGGTTTTTATGGTGACTATGAATCACTTATTTTTTTTCTGGCTATAAAATAAAATTTTCATAGTAGAAAAAGTCTAAAATATAGATAGGGGTAATGAAGAAAATAAAATATCCAGCCAGACACCATGGTGCATGCCTGAATCCCATTGACTTGCAGGCTGAGACAGGAGAGTTGCAAGTTCAAGGCCAGCCTCAGCAACTTAGTGAGACCATTTCAAAATTTAAAGATGTAGCCCTGTGGTAAAGAAGCCTAGGTTCAATCTCAAGTATTATAAAATAAAAAATCAAGATAAGATATCCATAGTCCTGCCAAAGAGAAACTTAAAAAATGAAGTTATTTTTTCCTTTTGGTCCTTTGCTCTGCATAAAATGGATTTACAGTTTGATTCATACTGAAAGTTTTCTGTTTTAGTCAGGTGTGGTGGCACACACCTATAATCCCAGTGACTTCAGAGGCTGAAGCAGGAGGATCCCAAGTTCCAGGCCAGCCATGGCAGTTTAGCAAGACTGTGTCTCAAAATGAAAAAGAAAAAAAAAAAAAAATGTCTGGGATAATAGGGATGTAGCTGAGTGGTAAAAGTCTATGGTTCAATCCCCAGTACTGAATTTTTTTTCTACTTTATGCTCCCAGACTTTCTATATCTTAAATACTGAGGTCACACTACACAGCAGTTTATCACAATTATCATAATTTAAGACTTTACTAGCCATTGAGGGTGTTCTCATTGTTTCACTATTAGAATGTTACAGTGGGCTGGGTTGTCAGTCAGTGGTAGAGGATGCATGAGGCACTGGGTTCTATCCCCAACACCACACCACACACACAAAAAGAATGTTATGCTGGATGTCTTATACAGAGACCTTTGTACTTAATTTTTCATGATTATTTTCTTAAACTAAATCTCTAAAATGAACTTACCTGAGACAAAAGATATGAACATGGAAGCTTTGACAAATTATTCTTAGAAAAGCTGAACCAGGTTACACTAGAGTAGTATAAGTTTCCTTGGGATCTCAACCACCACTGTTAACAACTTTTTTTTCCCTCTATCTTAATCAGATTGACTTTAAGATTTCTGATGAGTGCATTGCACAGTGGAAGCAAACCAACTTCATGACCAAGCTGGGAAACATTTCCTGTAAAACACTGAAAGGAGGGAATATCAGCTAGCCAGCCCAGCATCTTCCCTACTTCTACCATCCTGAGTCTTCTGGTGTCTCAGTTTGTTCCATTTGTCACCTGTTTGCCCATCTCTCAGGACATTGAAGCAGCAGGTCTTGGACTCTTTCTTAGGTGCAAAACTGGGTAAGGGGCAGCATACCTCCCCAGAATCTGGAATCATCCCAGGTGGTAAGTGGGGCTAGGGAACCCAGTTTTACCAGCTTCCTTTGGCAGCTGACTCAAGAATTCTGGTTTCAATATAACTCATAGAAAAAGTTTATGCCACAGTCCTTGTAATTGGAAAAACATTGGTTCCCAAGTTTTTTGGAGTTATCCCAGCAGCTGTGCCTCTAGCTGGAATCTAGTGCCTGGACTGGGCTAATTACAGTTTCTTCCCCAACAGGAAATTGTGGGATTTGAAAAGCAAAGAGAAGGGAAAACAGAACCTAGTGGTCTATCAAGTGGTTGGCAGCGTTCACACTGCATGCCTACTCTGGGGCTTCGTGTTGGTGGGAGACAGGGCCTGCCCCAGGGCTCATGGAATTTCCCTTGATCCAGCCAAACTGGGACACTCCCTAAACCAGCTGTGTTGTTAGTTAGCATGGATGGCATGGCGTGTGTCTTCAGAGAGGGTGAGGTCATTTCTCTATAAGGCGAGAAAATCGAATCACTAATCATCACTGTCAAATTCAAATAAAATGGTCTGAACAAGCATGTCTGGATGGGGACTGTCTGTAAGTGTGAAGCAGCTGCTGGGTCCCTCTCCCAGCCTGGGGTTGCTTGTATCTTGTAAGTTTGGCATTGTAGTGGGACAGTTGGGGGACTGGTGGATGGCAGATACCTTTGGTTTCCCTTTGGTGGTGCTAAGCGCAGCAAGCAGAACATTTTCCCTTCTAAATGTTGGCAGAGACCACTGCCCTGCCCTGCTCCACCCCCATTCAGCAGCAGCAGCAGCCAAATCCTTTTGTGGTTGATTAGTGTGGTGACTGAGTTTTCACACTAGTGTGTCGGGAGAGCTTTCCTCACACCTAGTTACCAGTGTTAGCCACTGAGAACATATTGCCCATTTGATGTGGAGGGTCAGGAAGCAGCAGTCACAGCCAAGTTTCAATCATTTAATTAATTAATTAACACCTTTTAAATGAAACAGAGCTTTTTCACCCCTCAAGCTTCAGGGCAGAGGGAATGGATTGTTTGTATAGACATATCAAAGACTCGAAAATTTAAAGAAATATATATATATATATACTTCTCTCTTCTAACATTTTTATGCAAATTAAAAATCAGAGGCTTTTGGTCTCTCCATTTGCACGAGGTCAAGCTCATTCACCCCAGAGAACAAAGGAGAGTTGCCTCTTCTAGATTCCCCCCTCTCCTTTGTGCTCTGGTCCACCAGGTGGGGGAACAAGCTCAGAAAATCCCAACTGAGGATAAGAGCTCCAGTAACATGGGAATAAAGAGGAGTCAGGCTCCCTCCACCTCCAGCAGTTCTGAAGGCCTAGTTTCATGGGGCTTTGACTGCTCCTAGGTTCTGGGTCCTGGGGTGGGGTGGATCAGAAGCTCCAAGCAGAAGAGTACTTACTGATTGCCTTCCCCTACTCACTGGACAGGTGCAACATATACCAGCAACAGCTCCCCATTATCCATGGGGCAAGGGAAAGATGTTGGTTTGTAGCCACTGGGAGAAGACAACAGTGGCAAACTAAAGAAACCCCAGAGCAGGCAGCCAGAGGAGCCCAGGCCCACAAACCCCCATTCCCAGGGGTAGGTGGCAAGGGCCAGTGTGTCACTGTCTATAGTAGTGGAGAAGCTAAAAGTAAGGTTCCTAGCCAGGCTCAAGGCTGAGTCACTGCTGAGAAAAGAGGATTAAGAAGGGATGGCCCTGGGTGGCAGCCACACTGCTGTGCACGGAGGTACTGGAGGCACCCCTGTGGAGCCAAGGGGACCGATGAGGAAGCCACCTGACCTAGATAGATCACATAAGCTGAAAACAGAAAGGTCATTAAAACTCCTGGAGGAGCCATCAGTAGCAGAGGCTGACATGTAGGAAGAGCCACCCAGCGCCCTCTGATAAGGGAAGGTTTTGGAGTAAGACTGCACCTCTGGCTTCCCATTCTTGCCACTCAAATCAGCTCCCCCTGTGGAATCACCCATGCTGAACAGCAGGAAGGACATGCACCAAAGAGTAGAGAAAGGTCAGAAAATAAGGTGCAAGGGCCAGACCTGGGCTGCTGCCCAAATAAGCTCCCCTGCCAGATCTTCCCTCCTGTCTCAGTACTCCCTGTGAAGCTGAAAAGGACACAGCCCATGGGCCCTGCCTCTGAAACTGTGCCTGCTGGATCAATCAAACAAGGGGCAGATGTCTGGCATGCCAAGGACCTGCTGAGATGACCTACTACTGTGATTTGCTTCTGAGGACAGAGCCTGCAAACCTGCCCTCTCCTTCCTCCCCACACCCATTTAGAGCCTGGGAGTCCCCTAATTCTTGTCCCCTGCATGAAGCACCTGGCAGAGCTGGAAGGCAGGAGGTTGGTGGTAAACTGAGGCACAGGAAGGCTAACCCCACTGCACCTTTTGTGCTTTGGAATTCCACAGCCCCATTCCTGCCCCCAGCCTTGAGGAGCCTGTGGGAATGTGACTTGCCCACCTCCAAGAACTAAGAAAGGAGCAAACTGGATTGGGGAGGAGGGACAGTTTGGTCCCAGCTATGGGCTGGTACCCAGGATTGATGCTGCCACCATGTAAACAGACCCTTGGAACGTGGCTTCCCAAGCCCTGGAGGATGGACATGCAGCCACTTCACAAAAGTGCTTTGATTCTGGACTACAATATGTGCATGATTTGGACATGGGGGGGGGTGAAAAAAACACATGAAGTGTTCTGCTCCCGTCTCTGTGGCCTCAGGGCCAGCAGGGGGCGCAGTCACCCACTCCCACCAGCTACCTCCTTCATGATGAGGCTAAGGCCAAGGCTGAAGGGGCAGCTGCTGGAGGCGAGTCCTTTGAGGGGAAAGGCATGAGAGCTGGGTGATCTGGAGGACGGGCGACACCAGGCTTGCATAAATATCGAAGGCTGTGGAGGTTAAGGCTGCAGGCGTCCTCTCTTAGGTTGTGTCTGCTGTCCTCTCGTCCTTGGAGCTGCTCAGGTCCCTGAGAGATTGTATTCCTGGGATGGGTCAGCAGTGCCAGTGCATGGTCAGACCAGCTCTTTCTGTGGGTCTGTGAGAGAAAAAGGAACATTTAGTAAGGGGCGCCCAGTTTGGTTCAGACACTGAGAGCCCAAGCACACTTTCATCCAGCCTTTCCCTAAACTCTCACTTGACAGACACCAGTGACAGCAGCTGGAAACTTGACTCAGACACTGTAAAGTAGGTGTCACTGTCCCACACTTCACAGCACTAGGATAAGACAAAATGATAAGGTTGGAATACACCTGGTAGGTCTGAGGTCAAAGCCCCACCCCCATGTTCCTTTTCCTGTAGTTCAAGTGACAATTCACCTGTCCCAGGCCTCCTAAATCCAGTTATTTTTGTTTTGTTCCCTTTTGTTGTAAAAATTAACCATCTCAAAGACCCAAAAGCAAATGCCCAGTGGTAGGACTTCAAATATTTATTTCCTACCATCAGTGACAAGACCCACACCCACCACTGCGCACTATACCTGAGTCTGGGGGACCCATCTTCTCCTCTGGGCCCACCAGCTGCACAACATCTCCGTTCTCTGCCAGCTCCCCCTTAGTCCTGTCCTCAGCATGAGGGAGCCCATTGGTAGGAGGAACAGTTATGGGTTCAGCCCGAGGAAAACTGGGAGAAGCAGGTAAGGGGACTCCCACCGAGGGCTTGCGGGCCACAGGTGGGGGAGCCTTCGGTGACTTCTTCAGGGACTGGGATGGCCGCTGCTCCGAAATGCTCCTAAGTTCAGCCACCAGATTCCGCTGGAGGTCAGCCTGGGCCTCAGGGGACACTGGCCGTTCAAGCTGTAGCTTCTTAGTGCCCTTGGAGAAGATGAAGCTGGCTGTTGAGGCAGGAGACTGGGGAGACTGTGGCCGGGCCTCCGGTGGTCCATTGGGCTGGGCACTTCCGAGGCCCTCACTGGCAGCCAGGCTGGAGGCCTTGAGTAGGACGGCAGCATGGAGCCCAGAAGAGGAGACAGGCACAGGGCTAGCCCGACCTGACAGGGCCCTTCGCAGCGGCTTCTGGGGGGCTGATAGCCCTGATGCAGAGGTTGGAGCACCTGTGGAAGCGACCACAGAGCGCAGCCGCACCATCTGCAGGAGTGAAGGGGTGACCAGGGGCACACCAGCTTCGTCCCTGGAAGCCCCATTGCTCTTGTTGCAGCCTACTGGCTCCTTCCGAGGGAGTCTGACCAGCTCTGGGACAGAACTAGTTGCGGGTGGGGCTGGTGGGGCTGGAGGAGGGTCTGGGGTCCCCTGGGGCTGGCTCTGGGAGGCAGCCAGGGAGCTGACAGGCCCAGGGGCTACTGCAGACTCAGGGCTAGCCACAGAGAAAAAGGCCTCCTCAGGTGGTGGGAAGTCAGCCATGGACAGATCCTGCTCCTCAGGTGTAGGGGGTGGGGGTGGGGGCCAGTTGGGGTCTGGGAGGGGCTCCTCAGTCTCTAGGGAAGTTGGGGCCTCCTCAACCACCTCTAGTTTCTTACTAGGTGGTGGGGGTGGATGGTAAGATGGGGGTGGGGATGGTGGGGGTGACTGATCTTTGGAGACAACAGGAGACTCCTGGGGTGGGACCAGAGATATCTGGGGAGTGGGAAGAGACTCAGGACTAGTATCAATGGTAGAGACAGGCCCAGGAACCACAGCAGGAGTGGCCAAAGTAGGGGCAGCTTTTTTAAGGCTCTTGGGCTTAGAAGGAGGAGGAGGAGAGAAGGGGGCAGGCACCTTGGGGTGAGGAGGTATGACAAACCTATCACTCAAGGGGATGGACATGTGTGGACCAGAGCGGTCTGAGGGAGTAGGATCAGAGGAGGAGGAGCACAGAGACGTGAGGGAAGAGGAGACAGAGACACCAGGAGACTGAAGGGAAGTGACCCTCTCTGGTTTAGGAGGCTGGGCCTTGCCTGGGGAAGCAGGGGCACCTGCCAGACCCTTGGGAGGTAGGGTCGGGGTACCACTTTGGCTCGAGTATCCACTGGAGGGTGAAAGTGTCCGTTCTGGGGATCGTGGGGGGTGCCGGGTGCCACCAGGAGACAAGCCAGGCACCCAGCTACTACCTGCCGAGGTGGGAGGACAAGGTGCTGCACCCACCACCCCTTCTGACCCACCTGTGGTGGGGGGCCGGGGAAGCTGCGGCTGCTGCTTCCGCTCAGGCTTAGGTGGCAACCCTAAGGGCCCATCGGGTGCCTCGGAGCCCCGCTGATGGAGGGAGTATGTCCGGCGAGGAGGTGGAGGAGGCCGTTTCAGCTTCCGCAGGGAAACACTCCGGCCAGACAACTGCCCGCTGCTCCGAATGCTGACTGTGTCTGAGGCCTCGGCAGTGCTGCCCCCACTAGGGGAACCCCTCCCACTGCCCCCCTGGGGAGCTGGTGCCATGCTACTGCTGGCCACAGAGCCCTCTGGCTGACCCTCAGAACCCCCCTTTGAGGAGAGGGTGGAACCGTCAGACACAACAGTCTCAGAAGACTGAGAGTGGCTCCAGGTATCACTGGAAGAGGAAGGATGGCGGCTACGGGGCTGGGGGCTGGAGACAGAGGAAAAGCGAC